TTTGTCATACACGTACATTATTATGCGGCCCCTCACTTGGTGTGAAAAACTTGATGTGGCCCTCGAAGTCAAAAAGTTTGCACACCCCTGTTTAAGATGCTATTTTACTTGAAATTGTGTAAAAATGTATTACAGCTATCCAGTGTGTTGTGATTGGCCGAATACCTCAAGCGTGTGACGGAAATGTTACGCCCCTTGCCATATTGTGATGCCTTGTCCCAGCTGGAGCGACGAGACAAAAACATTAAAAAACCCATTATAAACGAGGCATTTGTTGCATCCAGTGGGGACATAATTACGGATTATAATGACTTATACTGTCTTTTTTACGCGTTGCATTGCATCGTGCCGCATAAACATAAAACCATGTCTGCATTTGTGATCGGAGAAATGACAAACAACAAGTGCTACTCTACACTGCTCAAAACTCGACAAATTCTTTAAAGGGGTCATATGATGCTGCTAAAAAGAACATTATTTTGTGTATTTGATGTAATGAAATGTGTTTATGCGGTTTAAGGTTAAAAAAACACATTCTTTTCCACATACTGTACATTATTGTTTCTCCTCTATGCCCCGCCTTTCTGAAACGCGTCGATTTTTACAAAGCTCATGTGAAAGCCAATCCGGCGATCCACAGCGCAAAGTTGAAGTATTTCCTCAGCAACCAACACGGATCAGCTTCAGGCATGACGAAGCAGATATCGTCCTCTTTTGGAAGGCCAAACAAAGTAGTTTCGCTTTCACAACGAATCACAGCGCCTTCATGACATGGCGGCGGCAGCAACAATACTACAGTGAGAATAAAAGTTACGCCGCCTTTCTTTACGAACATTTGGGTGGTGTTATGCAAATCTTCCCACATAGCGACGTAGATATGTGGGGGCGTGTTAGAATGAGCCATTTTAGGTAGGCGTGGCTGACTCTTAACTTTTATAAAGAATATCTCTTTGGATTTGTGACTTTAGTCTTTGCAACTTTACAGATCTTCTTAATGCACCAAGAGCTTGTAACACTCCAAAGAGAGAGGAACATTTTTTATCGCATCATATGACCCCTTTAATGTCCGTGACCGTTATGATACTGCCTGTGTAGATGACAGACATCTCAGAAGGTTTATATGAAACGGTTGATGTTTGTCCAAAACACTCTGGCACACTTTCAGTGAGAATATACATGCTGTTCTGTTATGATCCATATACACTTCCACATTTATACATCCTCCTCCTGCTGTAACACTGAAACCCTCCTCAAACCCTGCTCTGTTCCAGCCGCTGTGGCTGAGTGCATATCATATCCACACATGCAAATACTTCTTTCTCTGTCCTCTTCCAATACAAAGAGCTTTTGGGACGCTCTTGTCTCACCCTGCGGCCTGCTGCGTGGGCCGGGTCGAGACCCGCTCCGACCCCACTGAACTTCTACACCCACACACTCCCTCACAACTGTGACATCCTGCTATCATGTCATTGTGTCTTGAGCAAGGACTCATTTTGTTAGCTGATGCTAACTGGCTAGCTAACTAGCTACCTGATGCTAACTTGAGGTCATTTTTAAATATAAAATCCAAATATTTTTATTCAACCAACTAGTTAGAATACTTTTGATGGAAAAACTAAGGATTTGATGTTCAGAACAGAAGAACTACAGTAATTGCTCATTGCCCACTAGGGGTGTTTTACCCCACAGACTATGTTCGGGGAAAAAAAATAGCCATTCTGAAAATATAATTGCTATAAATATAATAATTTATATTTTTATTAAATAACTAGAGCTGTAATCAAGTCCAGCTTTGTCGAGTCCAAGACCAGGACTAGTCGAGACCGAGTCCAAAGAGGTTCGAGTCCAAGTCAAGTCCAAGTCCAAAAGTTTTGAGTCCAAGTCAAGACCAAGTCCAAATGAGAGGAAAAAAAAGGATCCTCTTCAAGACCACATACTTAACTATTGATAATGTATGTGATGCGAGAGACAGCATATCTCCTATTCTAAGAAAATCATTTTACATTATTATTTGTAATGATCAAAAAGCATGTGCAAAGTAACAACTCTGTAGGACTGGGGTCTCCTAACTAGATCCTGGAGGGCCAATGCCCTGCAGAGTTTAGCTCCAACTGGCCTTAACACACCTATCCTATTATAGCAGACATATCCACTGATTTGCATTGATTTTGCCTTTCTAATAGTCCTGCACGATATGAGGAAATTCTGCTATGTGTGATAATAGTTTTGTTTTTGTTTTTGTTTTTTTTGCAATGATGATTACTTGTGATAAATAAATGAATAATTAACTGTGCATATTAGGGCCAACAAATAAAACTAAATCGCTCCCCAAAAGAGGACGATATCTGCTTTCGGTCTGTAAGAGCTACTAGATCATCATCTACTAGTGATTGTGTTGTTCCTTTTCGTCATTCTGCCTTTGGGTTATCATCTTTCTCAGTGAAAGCTATTATTCACTGGAACACTCTACCAGAAGACAGAAGGATGTGCACATCTATTGACATGTTTAAATTAAAACTAAAATTTTATTTAAAAGCAACTCGAAACTGTAAACACTGATACAGTTGTGGCTCTGATGGGATGTGTATAAGTATTACTGTATTGTATGTGTTTGTTGTTTTGTTCTTATGTTTATCTGTGATTTATGATTACCTGCCAAGGGACCGCAGATTAAAAAACTAGCCATTGGCTAAATTCAATACAATGCATGAAATGGAAACATTTATGTTAAAATTGTACATGGTCCCTTTTTAAATAAAGTTTAATAATAATAGTAATAATATATTATATTATTATTATATAAATTAAAAAAATTATTATCAAGCAATTATTTAAACTGCGTGTATATCAAACTGCATGTTTTCTGCGTTAAAATAAGGGCCATTTTTGGCTTTGGACTAAAACAAAAAGCAGAAGGGCTTATTGAAAAATGCAAATCCATTCTCTCTTCATTCTTTCGCTTTTCGCCAGGAATATAGCCATTTCCCCGGTAACCGCAGTAAACAAAGCAGTGCAGCACCTGATTTTGCACCTGAACTTGCAGCGCACATATTTAATCAATTAAACCATAGCCTTTTGAAGTGTAAGCTATATCTCAATTTACATGCATTTTTGTTTTTTTTTCACCGGAGCACCACCCGAGTCTTCTCCTCCCGTCCCATTTCTACCAGTGATCCTTTCCTTCCCGCGGTACTCATCATTGTTGTAGGTTGCCAAGTTGAGGGGACAACTGGGTTGAAATTTGTATGTGTTGATTGTGTGAGAAGGATGCGTTTCCTACAAGATCTGGCAACTGGGCAACCTTGGAATCTTGGATGCGATTGTAGCAAACATATAAAATACACCTAGTGGGATTTTTTTTATAGAAAGATAAAAAATACGGGAAAATATTTAAACGGGATGATAGCAGGATAGAATAGTAAAATACAGGGAAAATACTGGGAAAAACGGGAGGGTTGACTGGTATGTATAAAGGCCAGGACACACCAAGCCGACTTTAAAGAACTAGCAGCGAGGAATGGCGACAGTGTTGTCGCCTCGCGTCGGACCAAAAAGGTGCGCTCGAACACACCGCACAGACTACAGCCGACGAATTAACAGTCTATATCAGTAGTATATATTCGTCCTTCAAAAGGAGAAACCGAAACAAAGATATAGGAGATAAATGCAGATATACGAAACGTAAACGAAGCAGCGCTTGCTTACCATTTTGAATATCAGTAATGTTGATAACTTTAATCATTTTAAGCGGTTCGTGTTGTTATGAAAACATTCGCTTATTAGAATGATTGGGAAAGATCACATAACATTTAAACAGCCTTCTGTCTGTACCGCCTTCATTTACGTGCTTGTTTTCGTCACTTTCGCTTTAATTCTCAGGCACTGACTCTAAACTTAAACTGAACATCCAATCAGAGTTCTCACTCTCGCCGACAGCCCCGACACCCATTCAACATGAGCCGACGATGAGTGGAACACACCAAACAAACTAGCCCGACCATCGCTCACCGTCGGCCCGACGTTGCCCGACGGTCGACCGTCGGCTTGGTGTGTCTTGGCCTTAATATGCATTTATTTTTACCTTACTTGCTCAACGACTCCCAAACGATTTGCTCAACGATTAATTTTTCCAAACTCCTCCTTGCGTGACGCTAATCGACGGTGATTGGTCTAATTTTCATTTCATCATGATTGTAATGCCTGATAAAGCAGTGTTTGTGAGCGCAGTGCTGCTTTGTGTACAGCGTTATCGGGGAAACCGCTATTTTTACTGCTCCAGAAGCGGCACCTAGTGGCAAAGAATGAATTAGCATTTTCATTCAGACCAACGGGAAAAGACCGACAAGTGGGCGGGCAATATGCTAATGTTTCATGTTGAGGTCAACATGAAACGGCTTGGGATTCGTTTTAAAAACGACTCGTTTCAATGATTCAGAGTCGACTCTTTCTTTTGAGAGACAATAACTATACACGGTGCACTTTTAGATTTAAAACTTTGCAGGATGTTTTCATTCACTTAGAGCTGTGTTACACACTGCATGAAAGGTAATTTTCAAAAATCCATAATAGGGGCACTTTAAATACTAATAATCTTACACATTTTTTATTATTATTTTTTTATTATGTTACTGTAGTTTTGATCAAATAAATGCAGCTTTGGTGAACATCTTTCAGCATCAGAAAGAAAAATCTTTCTGCTGAAATCATCTTTGGCAGAATCAGGCTTTCCACATAATAGCATTGATATGAGCCATCTTCAGTTTAATGCATGTTTAGTCAGTTACTTGGCAACCCTTCTTGGAGGAACATTGCATTTCACGATGGATTTAATTGTTCAAAGAATACTCTTCAATTTGACTGACATAAGATTGGAGATCTGTAGTTCAGATCAGGATGGCCCAGCGCTCTGAACGACATCCAAACAGCCTTTAAACATGTTCTCTGTGCAATGCAACAGCGATATTGATTCTGTTTCCTTTTTCTCTCCCTCTTGGTTTCAGATTTCCTGTTTAAGTTCCTGGTGATTGGCAGCGCTGGGACTGGGAAATCATGCCTCCTTCACCAGTTCATAGAAAACAAGTGTAAGCCCATATTAATGTCGCACTCTCACAAAGACGTGAATTAAAACATGACCTTTAATTCTCAGAGCACTCAGCAGAGAGAAAGAGGGGGGCCTTGAATGTAAATTTTTTGTGAAGCCAGAGTGGCTTTACATGCTTTTGAAACATGAATAAAGGTATATTAAGCAATGAATGGAAATCATGTTGTCAGTGAGCTTAGAAAATCCAATGCCAATCTCAATTTACAGAGAAAATGATTTTGAATGACCCTGCCATTTAAGTGTTGAAAACATGTAGACTTAAGGAAGTCTACATGGGTCATATGATAAAACAATTCGAATTTTATGTGGTATTTTGAAGTAAAAGTTCTATAAGTGACAAAACACACTGGACTTTTGAGAACTCCTTTTATTATTTATTAGTTTCAGTTGATTTTGGACATTCAATTGTGCATGCTCATGTTGTTGGCCTGGTTCACCTTGTAAGCTTAAATATACAAACACGATGTTCAGTCTCTGAAATGTAGTCAGTT